GGCTTTGTTTATTAAATAAATCGTACTCAAATCTTTTCTTTGATCAATTTTCAGGAAAATAAATGTAATTCATTTTTTTTTTCTAAATGGAAATAATTACTAATATAAAAACTTTTCTGAAATAGGTTGGAAATTCGTGTGAGTGGACACACCAGATTTTGTTTCTCCTTTATTCAACGGATCATTTCTTTTCTGTAGATCATTTCTTGCCGTTTCATTTTGCCTGAATGGGTATTATTTTTTTACCTGTTTCGCCTTGTCCAAGAGACACCAATGTTGATTACCAGAGAGGTCCTTTGAGTGTGTTAAGGATTCGAATTTATTCTTCAGCTAAATTTTGAATTATGTTTCAAACCTTTTTCTTCCTACTTGATCAACTATTTTGTTGAATCCTATCTGCTTCAAATCAGTCCATATATTTTAAATTAGTTTCAACTTGATCCTTATTAACTAGAATGCGTTTATTTTTAAAACAGAATATACAAAGAGGAAATGAATGCCAATATTTACTCTTTTACATAAATACGGATCAGTTGCGATTCAGTAGTTTTCCTACAACTGCAGATAGACGATTATTCGATACTGAATTCCACCCTCTCAATTAAGTTAATTAACAAAAGGTAATTTATTAATTTCAATATCTTTTATAGTATAAAAAAAATATAATATTTGAATAAAACCAAGTTACAACAATTATCGGACTTTTATTGCAAAAAGCCTAATAAGTACATCTTTGATATAGCTAAAATTTTAAGAACGTTTTAGTGAATTTTATCTTATTAATTGGTGAAAAAAAAAGAAATTGCAATGACCTAAATCCTTTATATATCGACATAGTTACAACCAACGCACATTTTTTTTACTTTCCTACCAATACTAGGTAAAGAAAGTATTTCGAACGGGTCAAATTTCGGATATGCGGTTTTTGACGGATCTATACGCTTTTCAGAGCCTCCTGGGTCTTTCTGTCTGTCTGTCTGTGCCAAGATTTTCTCGGGAACTAGTGAACTGATTTTTTGGCTTCTTTTTTTATTTTGTAGGGTTTTGATTACTGATACCTGTGACAGTGCTTCGTGCGTAATAGGAGCTGCGCAATAAATGAAAACATGTTTTTTTCTATAGAATGTAGGGCGAAAACGGCTCTAACGATTTTGATGAAACTTTCCTATAATGTTCTAATAATTGCCCTTTCAATTTTCGTATATGGACCAAGTTCCCGAGAAAATTCAGGAAAAAAAAGTTATAAAGAAAATAAAAATGTTTTGATGCCTACGGGTTCATATCCTGGTGTCAGAAAAGGGTGAATGAGAGCAAAAAGATGGCTAAGTGAAAGTGAGAAAATCTGTTGCCAGCATCACACAATCTTCAATATTTCCTCTAATTTTAGCAGAAATTATTGTTTGACAATACTAAGCTATAGCAAAAAGTTTTTGATCAGCAATATTAGTGTGTGTTGAAATTATTGAATATTAGTGTGAAGCCGGTTTACATTGCTTTAGTTTATCAAATAAATCGTACTCAAATCTTTTCTTTGATCAATTTTCAGGAAAATAAATGTAATTCAATTTGCTTTTCTTTCTTGATGGACATATGTAAAGATATAAAAACTTTTCTGAAATAGGTAGAAAAGTCGTGTGAGTGGACACTCGAGTTTTTTATTTTTTATTTCATAGAAGACAAATCCACCGAAGTTCTTATTATTTGAGGTTATGGAATTAATGATGTTTTGAAATTAAAACCGACGATATAGATAAGTCTTAATCAAAATGATCAAGATAAGTCCTAATTAAAAATAACCCTTAACCAAAGATTGCAAGAGATTTTTAAAAAATCATTAGCGGTTTTGCGCAGCACACATCTTTCACTTACCATTCTATCTTGAATAGATGAACGTGTTTTGTTTTAGATAAATATGTAGATGATGCAATTATTCCTCTTTATGTATCCAACGATGTATATAATTCTAATTTTTTTTTTCTAAATAAAATCAAAATATTGGTCTATAATAAATTAATCTTTTTAAACACAATGATTACCAGATAAATACATATTTCATTTGTCAAGATAAACCACACAATACGCATTCTTACGACAGTGAAGAAAATTTATAGTAATTTATTGCTAATTACTGGTATAGAGGTCTTCTGTGTGAGTGGAGGGGGGCCAAAAGATAAAATTGTCCCAACAAATTCAATATAAGGAACAAATATCTCACAAATTTCAATATAGTCCGTGGTACAGACTCCTTTTTGTCAAATTATTAACATCCGCCTGAAACTTTCTAAATAGTTTCATCTCATTGTAACATACAACTATTTTATTTAAGAAAATTCATGGAATTAGGGCGTTTTCAATCTGGAGGAAGCAAACTTTGTCTATTTAATTAGGTACTGAAAAATCGTAAATAATCATTTGCTTTCAACTTGAATCGTAAGATAATTTTATAGCAAAATCGAGAAAAAAATGTGGGCTACAAAAATATTGGGCCGTTTGGCGTATACAACCTCGTTATTTTGAAATATTCACGCCAAACTGTCCTATATTTTTGTAGGCTACTTTTTTTCTCGAATTTGTTATCCAATTATCTTACAATCCAATTGGAAAGCAAATGAGTATTTACGATTTTTTAGTAACAAATTAAATAGACAAAGTTTGCCAATCTACAGATTTAAAACGTCCTAATTCCAAGAATTTTCACAAATAAAATATTTGTAAGTTACAATGAGATGAAGGTATTTACGAATTTTTTGGCGGATGATAATAATTTGATAAAAAGGGGTCTGGTACTAATAGTTCGTTAGTTAGTGGTACCACGGACTTATATTTTTTATTCTTAAAATTATAACTTATATTATTAGTTCGAATAATATTTCACGATACGTTAATTTAGAACATTATGATACATTTTTGATGAAATAATTTAATTTTATGATCTATTTTGAATTTCAGCTATTCAGTTACCCGTCAAAAATGTTTGCAATTGTAGATTCAGAATATATTTTAATATTTACATTTTTTTTCTAATAGTAATTACAGGAATAATAATGCTTTCAGAGATAAGGATAAAGGAATTTTCCGTTTTAAAATCAGACAGTTGTGCCTGGTTTTGTAATTAATTTTGATACATAAAACGTCTTCTTTATTTTAATGTGCTTACAGTGTTTTTTTTTGTGTTTTTTTTTTGTTTTTTCTTTCCTACCTATACTAGGTAAGGAAAGTATTGCGATCGGGTCATATTTCTGATATGCGGTTTTCGACGGATCTGAACGTTTCAGAGCCCCCTGAGTCCGAAAAAACACATTTCTAGCCATTGGTCTGTATGTGCTTTTCGATTTTTTTCGGAATTAATGAACCGATTTTGTTGCTTTGTTTTTATTTTGTAGGGTTTTGACTACTGATGCCTGAGACACGAATTGGATGCTCCATGCGCAATAGATGCTGCGCAGTAAATGAAAAACATGTTTTTCTATAGACTGTAGCGCAAAAACGGCTCTAACGATTTTGATGAAACTTGATATTATGTTCTAATAATTTTCGTACATGGACTAAATTCCCGAAAAAATCAAGAAAAAAAGTTATAAAGAAAATAAAAATGTTATGGGGCTTAACTCCTTAAGTATATATTATACGGTAAAATTCATAACATGACTTTTGAAAGGTAATTAAATTACAAAAAAAACTATATAAAAATCGTTCATTTTAAAATAACTATTACCGAAGTTACTGCTATTCATTCAATTTTCAATATAACATTACGGATTCATATCCTGGTGTCGTCAAATAGAGGTGAATGAGAGAAAAAAGATGACTAAGTGAAAGTAAGAAAATCTGTTTCTCGCATCACACAAGCTTTAAAATTTTCTCTATTTTTAACAGAAATTATTGTTCGAGAAAATTAGGCAATGGCAAAAAGTTTTTGATCAGCAATATTAGAGAGTATTGAAATGTTTACACTGATCTACCTTAAGCAGGTTTACATTGCTTTAGTTTATCAAATAAATCGTACTCAAATCTTTTCTATGATCAATTTTCTAGAAAATAAATCTAATTCAATTTGTTTTTGTTTCTTCATGAACATATGTAAAGATATAAAAACTTTTCTAAAATAGGTGGGGAAGTCGTGTGAGTGGACAAACTAGATTTTTCAATCGATAAATAAGGTCAAAATAAACAAAAATGTTTTTGAAAGCCCTTAAAAGTTCACCTCTGTCAAAAATATACTTAATACATTTTTCAATAAACAGTCAATATGAATGCCTAACTAGGTATTTGTCAAAAATCATTCATGTAAAGAAATACGGCTACAGCCCAAAAAGTACTCCACTTTTCTGAATCTTGTAATGAAATTTCGTAGCTTTAAAAATTTAATTTAATAATTTAAAAGATAATAGTCATCAATTTTAATTATTTTTTAAGTAAAACGTTTTATCACGATTTTCTTCCATTCTCCTACCTCGCCAATTCTAGCATACGCGCAGAGAAAAATTGTTCTAGAGATTCAACGAAACCTAAACTAACCAGACCAGAGTGGGAAAGTCGAGATTCATTCCGTGGGTATCCAGTCCGCGTCGATAAAATATTCATTTCTTAATTTTAAAAAGTTTTCCTATTTTTTCCATCATTTCTGACTTCCAAATTATTAGAGATAGTGGTAAACAGTTAGGCTAGATGCCCTCAAAAATATTTTTTTAAGTTAGGTCGCAACAATTTATTGACATTTGTACCTCTTTGGCACGCTTCAGTAACCTTGATCGGTCACTACTCTGCGAAGGCAGAATCGATTTCCAGACACAATCGATCAAGGCCCCTTCGACTCTCAGCACCCTAGGAGCATTCCAGATGACTGACATTGACCTCCTAGGTACTCGTCCCCCGAGCGCCCCCCTCGAATATTTTAAAATTAATCGAGAATCCTCATGACCGAAGGGAGGGGGGCAGCCACACGAGCTAATCGCAAGCACCATATCTGTTATTAATAAGGACATCACAGCGTGTCTCTTCTCATTCAACGGTAACTCCTCTTAGCGAACAGATCCTGGGAAAGACAGAGTTGCAGATCTCTCCTGTTGGTGCGTATCTTTTCATTTTAAAACTGACATTCTAACTTAAAAATCGATTTCACTCTTCAATCCGAGATTCATTTCTACTCCAATCATCAACTACGTAAACATATTTCATCAGAAACCACTCATATTAACCCAGAATTAGGGTGTGTATTGCCATTCGAGATTAGAGAGATAAAAATTCATTAAATAATCTAAAGAAATCCACCTATGTTGTACTCTTTTTTTTTTTTCTTTTTTTTTTTTTGTATATTATCGCATACTGCAAGTTATCAGTCAATTGCATGGGAAAATTCATTTATAAATTTTACAAAAAAATTTATTTTATCATTAACTACAGTTTTTGTATTTACGCGAATTCTCGAAAATGAGCCGTTTTCAATCTAGAGATCGATAAATTTTATCAATTTGATAAGTGACATAAAAATTCATGAGTTCTCATTTTCTTCCCACTTTAATCATGATATAACTTAATCAAGAAATCCAGAAAAAAGGTGGCCTATAAAAATATTGGACTGTTTAGAGAAAAATGCGACTAAAAGAATATAATATAAATATAAAGAATATAATCTATTATAATCTTAATATTTACCTATCCAATCTTTAGTAAATTTTAACTACATCTTCGATGTCCTGAAAGGTTAAGCTATAATAACAACTATCTATTTTTTAACAGAGTAGTTTAACTACAAACATGAATCAATCTTAAAAAATATATTGAAAAAGCTGGTGCGGTGCGCACACCACACAACTTTCATTTACCACCCTCTTCTTAGCAGAAATAAGTATTTTCAGACAAACGAGAAGTGAAAATAAAAATTATAGACGCTATAATTATTTATATTTCATTGTGGGTATTTTTGTTGTATAAGTACCCTTATATATACAAATTCTAATATTTATATCGGTGTAATCTATACAGATAAATATTAAATAATACCAACAACAGCATTTATGAAAACCGCATATGTATATTTATATACTATTGTCGGAGTCCGTATTATATTAAGCTCATGTTACGTATGGAAGCCTGTTATAATCTTTCGGACGAGCTCGGGTGCGATCAATTACAACTATTCTCCGTTATGATTTTTTATTTCTCATTTAGTTAATAAATAAATTCTTTTATATTTTATATTTAACTATCTTTTATGTTAGAGATTAATGTGAAATAGTTAATTGTTTCAAATTAAAAAAAATAAAGGTACTTTAGAGGAAGCTAATATTGAAAATTAGCCATTTAAGCCCTGCCAGAAAACATAAATCAGAATAAAAACTACATTTTATTTAAAACTGCTTAATTTTACACTGATATACTGAGTTTAATCAAAATCGTTAGAGCCGTTTCCGAGAAAATTGTAAAAATGTGTTTAGCCCATGATATAAAGATCCAATTCAGTCGATTTTTACGAAAAAGTTACTGTAACATCCCTATCATATAAAAACCTTAAATATGCAATTTCACTTTCGTACGACTTTTCGTTTATGAGCTAGACTGTTAACACACACACATACATATACACACACAGATCATTGTGAGGGACTTGGTTATTTGGACTCAAAGCGTGTATATTTCCGTTGAAAAATGAGTATCAAAAATTTTCACGAACGCAATACTTTCCTTTACTATATATTTCATATATATGTAAGTGAAAGTAAAAATTGGTCCTTTTTTAAAAATACTTTTCACTAACCACCCTTTTTTTTTAGTAGAAATTAGTATTTTTTTAAAATAATATTTTAAATTAAATCTAAAAAAAAAGCAATTAATATAAATTATGAATATTCTGTGGAATAAAATACATTTGGCTTATCAAGCTCAAAAAATGTTTCCAAATATTTTCTTTAGAATTTCCGTTTAGTTTCAATGTAAAGGTTTGTTTTCCATTCGTTGACATTAAAAAGTCATTAGTTTTCAGCACTCTCTATTATGTTCAATCTGCGAAAAAAATCCTTCCATTTCCTACTTTTGATTAATTATCAAATTCTTTCATAATTCATATTTAACCATTTTTAATATTATATAAACAAAATTAATGATACTGAAAATATGAAGAAATTTTGAAATTCAATATCTAAGCCCTAACAAGTTAATACCAACCTGATATTTAATAGCATTTAATTTTACATCGACATGACAAGTTTAATCAAAATCATTAGAGCTGCTTATGAGAAAATGGTAACAATCGATTATATAAAGTACCATTTTCTGTTATTCGATTATAACTAAAAAAGCTGATATAAGAAGTGCAATATCAGTTTCGTACGAATTTCCGACTTTTTGGATTCAGGAGACATTGAAACGAAACATGCATTTTTGATGAAAGCTACATTTTGAAATATTCCATAATCGCAATACTTTCCACTTACTTTATATTCATTTATATATTTAACCATTAAGCATATTATAAAAAATACGAAATGCAAGCACATATACCCTTTGAGCAATAAATAATAAAAATGTTATACAAACTCGTCATGCAGACGTAACGTATCTGAGTGGAAAAATAACTGATTAAGAACAGCGTTTGATCAATTAATACGATTAAAGAAAGTGACCAATGATAATACGTGTTAATCACATTGATGGATTACGATAAGAAATATATCACCTTGAGAATTATCAGAAATTTCGCTAAGTAAGTAATCCAACACTTGAACCGACCTGTGCATTTCCTATTAGTTCGTTCCATATCGACAGTATAAGGTGAAAAAGTTCCTTTTTTTGGAAATTCTAAGGTTGAAAGGGAAAAAAATCTGGTGTGTCCACTCACACGACATTCAATTTGATTTATTTTCCTGAAAATTGATCAAAGAAAAGATTTGAGCACGATTTATTTGATAAACTAAAGCAATGTAAACCGGCTTAAGGTAGATCAGTGTAAAAATTTCAATACCTCTAATATTGCTGATCAAAACTTCTTGCCGTAGCCTAATTTTGTCAAACAATACCTTCTGTTAAAAGTAAAGGAAATAGTGAAGCTTGTGTGATGAGGGAAACAGATTTTCTTACTTTCACTTAGTTATCTTTTTTCTCTCATTCACCCCTTTCTGACACCAGGATATGAACCCATAATCTTACATTGGAAATTGAATAGCTGTAACTTCATTAATAATTGTCCAAAATTAACGATTTTTATATAGTTTTCTAGGGAATTTCATTAGCTTAAAAAAAAAAGGGTTTTCATTTTGTGTCACATGCATCAGTAGTCAAAACCCAACAAAATAAAAAAAGAAGCAACAAAATCGGTTCACTAGGTCCCGAGAAAATCTAGGCACAGACCGACAGACCAATGGCTAAAGATGTGTTTTTCGGACTCCGAAGACTCTGAAACGCATAGATCCGTCGAAAAACGCATATCGGAAATTTTACCCGATCGCAATACTTTCCTTACCTAGTATAGGTAGGAAAGTGAAAAAATATGGTGAAAACACTGAGTACGCAAGTTGTCTCAATTCTTAATGGCTAAACTCTAACATAATTAAATTCTAAGTACACTGTCGTAAAGTAGACAAACCTTTTTTTGAGAAAACAGTGATACCTAAAATCGGCACTTTACAAGACCAAGACCAAGACTGCCTAAATGTTGCAAGACCAAGACCAAGGCTGCCTAAATGTTGCAAGGCCAAGACCAGGACTGGTAAAAAAAATCGTCTTTTAAAAATAAAAATCAAGACATAATTGTTATTAATATTTGACAATCTTAATATTTGTAAAGAATTGGTGTAACCAATATACTTTTGCATTTAACTCCTCTAATTTTTCATTCGAACTTAGTTAGATTTCTCCTATTTAAAAAAATACAGTAATATCTCTACAGTAATGATCTAATAAGTAACTGCAAGACTGTTGCGAGACTCTTGCGCAAGACCAAGACCATGACCAAGACTGAGTTTGCAAGACCAAGACTCGTCTTGGTCTTGCATTTGGGCATCACTAAATACGGTCACTGTACTGCTGCAGTTACAGTACCTACAGTACCTAGTAGTGTATCTCTGTATTCTCGCAAGCAGTTGTACCACGGTCGTATTAGACCTCCTGAAAGTACCTTTTTTCATTTATCTTAGTAAATTTAATCACTGTTTTCTCAAAGAAAATTTTGTCTTCTTTACTATAGTATACTTAGAATTTAATTATCTTTAATAGTTTTTGAGCAATTTCTTCTTATTCAATAAAAAACGTGATTTTTATTCAATAAAAATAGGTCTTAAATCCTTTTCCGTTCTTCGTGCCAATCTGTAACAGTCCACCAAGGAAAGCCACGCTGCCCGAGATTCCTCCTCATTCTCCCCCCGAGTATGTGAGATCCATCAGACTACTGGAGGCAACTCACACCGAACGGGCGTAGGATTGGTGACCTCACCCCGAACTTTAAATCGGGAATCGGGATGTGGTCAAGGAGACCACACTCGCGGTCAAAGATCTTCATGGTCTATAGGGCCAACAGAAAATGTATATATTTTATGATATATTATATATCATAATAGTTTTCGTAAATTCTATAATGGATAAAAAATTTCCCTAATTTCCGTCAAAGACCTTGGATACTATTCTAAAATGTATTTATTACGTTCGAGAAAAAAAAGAATGTAAGACCAAAATTCTAGTGGAAAATGTGATTATTTCTGATAATGAGCAAGTTAAATTTACAGATGTTAATATTTAATTTCTTTGTCATGGAGTGACGTAGTACGTAGTATTTAGTTTTCGTGTATAACGGCGAATATTTATGACGCTATTGTTTTCTCAAGAGTATTTATGACAGTGAATAATCTTATGAATGTACCGTAGATATATTTAAATATTTCGTAAATTAAAAATTTGATTTGTTTAATTTAAAATTTGCCTAATATAACACACTTCAAGGAGACACGTCGGATAATACCATGTCAGATATTTAAAACCAAATTCCAGAGGAATAAAGTATAGTTCTTTGGACTTAGAATCTACAGAAGAATGACTTGGAACACATCCGTTAGAAATAATGGAAAGACCTTAAACAAAC